AGAAATTGGAGTTCAATCAATGAGCTTCCGCCCCTCGCCATTTGAGTGACATCTAGCAAGAGGCACATAGTGCACCCACTGCAGAAAGAGAGAGAGAGAGAGCAATGACTTGGAGTACATATGTGCACATATGTGACGTAGTACGCAATTTTCAGGGACCACTTTTGGCTTGTGAGCGCTACTTACAGAACTACTGGCTGACAAGTATACAAAAGTACCAGAGAATCTTTTTAAGATCTCATGGATCAGACTGAAAACTGAAACAACCCACACACACACAGTGCAGGGTTAAATGCTGCACGTTGTTACACATACTAATCCTCTGTAACACTTTAGGAATACAAGCACATAAACAGAGAGAGAGAAACACTATGTTGTTTTCAGATTACATAGGCCTATCTAGGAGACCAGGGTGGAGAGAAGACCTTTCTGAGACTGTATAGGAACAGAGACCAGGGTGGAGAGAAGACCTTTCTGAGACACTATAGGAACAGAGACCAGGGTGGAGAGAAGACCTTTCTGAGACAGTATAGGAACAGAGACCAGGGTGGAGAGAAGACCTTTCTGAGACTGTATAGGAACAGAGACCAGGGTGGAGAGAAGACCTTTCTGAGACTGTATAGGAACAGAGACCAGGGTGGAGAGAAGACCTTTCTGAGACACTATAGGAACAGAGACCAGGGTGGAGAGAAGACCTTTCTGAGACACTATAGGAACAGAGACCAGGGTGGAGAGAAGACCTTTCTGAGACTGTATAGGAACAGAGACCAGGGTGGAGAGAAGACCTTTCTGAGACACTATAGGAACAGAGACCAGGGTGGAGAGAAGACCTTTCTGAGACTGTATAGGAACAGAGACCAGGGTGGAGAGAAGACCTTTCTGAGACTGTATAGGAACAGAGACCAGGGTGGAGAGAAGACCTTTCTGAGACTGTATAGGAACAGAGACCAGGGTGGAGAGAAGACCTTTCTGAGACACTATAGGAACAGAGACCAGGGTGGAGAGAAGACCTTTCTGAGACACTATAGGAACAGAGACCAGGGTGGAGAGAAGACCTTTCTGAGACACTATAGGAACAGAGACCAGGGTGGAGAGAAGACCTTTCTGAGACACTTTAGGAACAGAGACCAGGGTGGAGAGAAGACCTTTCTGAGACTGTATAGGAACAGAGACCAGGGTGGAGAGAAGACCTTTCTGAGACACTATAGGAACAGAGACCAGGGTGGAGAGAAGACCTTTCTGAGACACTATAGGAACAGAGACCAGGGTGGAGAGAAGACCTTTCTGAGACTGTATAGGAACAGAGACCAGGGTGGAGAGAAGACCTTTCTGAGACTGTATAGGAACAGAGACCAGGGTGGAGAGAAGACCTTTCTGAGACTGTATAGGAACAGAGACCAGGGTGGAGAGAAGACCTTTCTGAGACACTATAGGAACAGAGACCAGGGTGGAGAGAAGACCTTTCTGAGACTGTATACGAACAGAGACCAGGGTGGAGAGAAGACCTTTCTGAGACACTATAGGAACAGAGACCAGGGTGGAGAGAAGACCTTTCTGAGACACTATAGGAACAGAGACCAGGGTGGAGAGAAGACCTTTCTGAGACTGTATAGGAACAGAGACCAGGGTGGAGAGAAGACCTTTCTGAGACACTATAGGAACAGAGACCAGGGTGGAGAGAAGACCTTTCTGAGACTGTATAGGAACAGAGACCAGGGTGGAGAGAAGACCTTTCTGAGACTGTATAGGAACAGAGACCAGGGTGGAGAGAAGACCTTTCTGAGACAGAGAGGCAGTGTGTGTGTGAGCAGGGCATGGTCACCAGGGGCGGTGTGTTCAATAGGGCGATATGGGCGACGCACTGCCAAACGGGAAAAGGAAGGGATTTTTTTTCTAATCAATTATATCACGGCAACAGTAGTTATCAGTGTTCTAATCTGATCTGACTGCCACTAAATGTCAAATCAGGCTAAAGTCGTGCTTCAAATGGCCCCGCCCGTTTTTGGGGCGATTTCAGTCATGTTGAAAATCGCCCAGAAGTCTGTCATAGACTCCCATGTAAAATCTATTTTTTTCAAATTTCAAAGCTTTCAATACAATCTCTATGGGTGTCTGTGGGCTTGCACTTACGCGCTTTCGTCATACGTGACGTAACCATGAACGTAACTAAGAAAATAGCGGCTAGCAGCGTCTCTGTTGCGACCTGCAGTGTGGCGTTATCTTATGTTTTTAATTTGTACACTTAGTGGCGTTATTTTATGTTTTTAATTTGTACACTTAGTTTACAAACATTCTGCCAACCATGGATTTCCAGTGGTGGGTTTTGGACTGATCTTGTTGATCGTGTACATACCCGCTACGAACGGACTAAATAATGAAAACGCTGCTGGCAGCGGAATCCAATACAGCTGGGAGACTTGGCTGGATGACAGAGTCCCGGACAGAGAAGTGGAGCCGGCCGGCTTCACCCTGGTCAGAGCGGACCGCGATCTGACACAGTCACAGGGAAAATCGATCCTGGTAAGAGAGCGACTCTGTACCCCCGACATTGAACTGCTTTCTGTGTCACTGCGACCTTACTATCTGCCCCGTGAGTTCCCCCAATTGTTTGTTACCGTTGTGTACTGTTGATAATCACAAGTTTACTGGAGAACTGAGACCAAGTAGAGACTTTGGACAGGGTGGATATGGTATAATAAAGGCAGTTTATTCAGAGGTAAAGATATCTGGAATCGCGTGCACGGACTCGTTCGTCAAACTCTTAGGGAGCTATCTGAAGAGAGCCCCGAAAACATTGTGTGCAGACATTTTATACAATAAATGATGTAGGTTGAATGTAGTAGTTCTGATCTTCTGATTGGTCCTGATGAGTTGGGCGAGGTCCCCTCCACTGTTGCATTGGCTCTGAGTCGGTTTCTCGGTCTTCAAATGTTCAGCCTAAAGAGAGGGGATTTTTGTGTGTGTGTGTGTGTGTGTTTAACAGTGATGATGTGTGTGTGTGTGTGTGTTATCAGTGATGATGTGTGTGTGTGTGTGTGTGTGTGTGTCCTCAGAGCAAGAACTCGTGAGTTGGAAGAACTGAGAGACCTATGGCGTGGGTGTTGTCCTTGGCCACCTGCTGACAAGGCTGACAAGATAGGACTCTTTTGTCCATTGTTATAGGATAGGAACAGCATTGATTGAAAACAAACGCCCAACACAAAATGGGTCATGCACAAGATTTTAGTCAGACCAAGCTATAACATTATATATTTACTACGACAGTACATTCAACCAAAAGCTAATATAACAAAGGCATCAGAGATTATTTATAATCTGTCACAGAAACTGGAATCCATCTCCCCAGATCAGTCAATAAATGCTTCTGGTATTGACTTATATGCTGCCCCTGTCTTCATGTTGTTGCTGGACATATCTTTTTTTAAATGTGTGTAGGTCACCTAAATCATCAGAAAAATTGCCCCTCCTGAGAATTTTTTCAGGAGCCGCCACTGATGGTCACTCAAACATCTCTCTCTCTCTCTCTCTCTCTCTCTCTTTAACCACATGTTGCGATGTTCAGATTAGTATTAGCATTCCAATTTGTAAAGACCATCATTCAAACCAACTAAACCGCCCATACTCTCCTTGAGGCAATACTGCAGACACAAAGAGATGGTGTCTGTTAAGGTCAAATGTGTGTGTGTGTGTGTGTGTGTGTGTGTGTGTGTGTGTGTGTGTGTGTGTGTGTGTGTGTGTGCGCGTACATGCGTGTCAGAGGAGGCTGGTAGGAGGAGCTATAGGGAGATGGGCTCATTGTAATGGCTGGAATGGAATTAATGGAACGGTATCAAACACATCAAACAAATGGACACCACATGTTTGACTCCGTTCCATTAATTGCATTCTAGCCATTTCAATGAACCCATCCTCCTATAGCTCCTCCCACCAGCCTCCTCTGACACACATGCGCACACACATACATACATTTGACCTTAACAGACACCATCTCTGTGTGTCTGCAGTATTGCCTCAAGGAGAGTATGGGCGGTTTAGTTTTCAGAGAAGCAGACCGATACTGATTTACTACAGCCCTGATAATCTACTAGAAAGATCACCTAGCTGTGTCAAAACCGGTTCAATACTACTACAGACCATCCCTTTAACAGTGCTCTCAATGGCTCTTGCATACAGGCCTAGACATTGTGCAAGATAAGTTTCTGTACTCTTTTCAAAGTACCTGTTCTGCTGCTGTGTAGTGTTCTTTGTATGGCCCTAATATCCATAGCCTGCAGGCTTATATGGTTGTGATGTGTAACCTACACGTAACAGTAACTTGGCTGTAATAAAACATAACAGAACCTTGTCTGTCATTTGAAACAATCATGTTTTTTTTCTTCCTCAATGTGGTTTGAAGCAAACGCCACAGTAGTATTGTTTTCATTGCTTCCTGTTTCCGTGTAAATGTCTCGTCCCAAATGCCACCCTATTCCCTATTTAGTGCGCTACTTTTCACCAAGGACCATAGAGCTCGGTTTCAAAGTAGTGCACCATATAGGGAATAGGGTGCTATTTCGGACGCATTCACTTTATTTGACACTATATTAAAGAACTGAAAGTTAGCACCCTGAAACCAGGGTATTAATGACAGATCCATTTGACCTCGTGCTTTAATCTAAGTCCAAACTGCTGTTGAATTCTATGACAGCCTTAGGTCTGGTGACAGCACGTAACTACATTATATTTCTATATATGACAGTCTATCGTGAGTTTAGGAAAATGTAATGTAAATTTTTCTTCCAATTGGTTTCAGATTCAGAGTCAACGCATTGTTTTACCAGCTGCTTCCTCAAGATCTATTTCACAACGTGGAGATGAGATTCGTAGCTGCGTGTACACAATATTAAGAGGGTTGTGCGTGGGTTAGGTTTCCTGGGCGACCTATTGTACTGATTATATGATGAAGTCACCTTTGTCATAATTACCCAAGTAAAGTAAACCGGTTTCATACCTGGGCTGCCACTCACTCACCGCTGCTGGAAAAAACACTTCCTACTTATTCACTCAGTCGATACCGTCTCTTCTCCTGACTAGGTATGGCTCGAACTACACTGTCTATAGCTCCTGTGCCCAACGGAAACCGCAAGATACAACTGAACGGGAATCACTTCAAAAGCGCCATTTGTAAGAAAAATGGATACCACAATAAGGCACAGGTATGTACAATTATTGGCGAGTAGATGTCATGGGGCGTTTTCCAATGTGCGACATCTTGAGCAGCCTAACTTTTATTATCTGTAAAAATAAAATAAAAAAAAAGACCGATAGAAAAACAACAACAACAACAATAATATCACCTGTAGGTGTAATAATGTAGGATCCGTTGCCGAGTTAGTGGGCTGTCACTTGTTATATGTTGACAGTGGCTACATGATGCGTAGCGCTGTCTAGTCTCTCAGAATCACACTTGTTGATGCAGGCAGGTATAGCTAGCTAGCTAGCTAGCCTCACATCATCATTTTCCTGCAAGTCAGAACAGCCTACAAGCACATGGAATCGGATATTTCAAGCCACGTTTCAAACATAGGTGGTTTGAAATCTACAAATCTGATTCCTGGCCATGCATCTTGTGTCTGAACGGTCAAATCTGATTTATTTGCCCTCAGATGTTGTTTTTTTTGACTGTTATTTAGCATATCTTGTCGTTTGCTAGTTACTGTTGGGTTGACAGTTTGATAAGAACGTGTGGTAACTAACTAGCTAGCTTGTTAATTGTGTACAAAACCACTTAGTGAATGTGCTAGTTGACTCGGTTTTAAAGTCGAGGCTTTATAAGTGTTCTTACTTTAAATGTTGAAAATCATAATGTCACTGGGAGACTTCTATGGCAGGTACTGTTGTCACCTTAGCTCCGCTGTAGTGAGCCATTACCATGACAACTAGTGGAGCCATGTCAGCAAATGACTACAGTCTGAACTAAAGGATGGTCGTTTTACATTATTTGACAGTTCAAGTACTCGCAAGAACACAAAGGCATGTATCTAAATTACCAGTCAAACGTTTGGACACACCTACTCATTCAAGGGTTTTTATTTATTTGTAAAAAAAAAAAAAAAAAAGACATCAACACTATGAAATTACACATATGGAATGATGTAGTAACCAAAAAAGTGTTAAACAAATCAAAATATATTTTATATTTGAGATTCTTCAAAGTAGCCACTGATGAGGCAAAGGGTGTCACCTGGAATGTATTTCAGTTAACAGGTGTGCCTTGTTAAAAGTTAATTTGTGGAATTTCTTTCCTTCTTAATGCGTTTGAGCCAATCAGTTGTGTTGTAATAAGGTGAAGGGGGGTATACAGAAGATAGCCCTATTTGGTAAAAGACCAAGTCCATATTATGGCAAGAACAGCTCCAATAAGCAAAGAGAAACGACAGTCCATCATTACTTTAAGACATGAAGGTCAGTCAATATGGACAATTTCAAGAACTTTGAACGTTTCTTCAAGTGCAGTCGCAAAAACCATCAAGCGCTATGATGAAACTGGCTCTCATGAGGACCGCCACAGGAATGGAAGATCCAGAGTTACATCTACTGCAGAGGATGAGTTCATTAGAGTTAACTGCACCTCAGATTGCAGCCAAAATAAATGCTTAACAGAGTTCAAGTAACAGACACATCTCAACATCAACTGCTCAGAGGAGACTGTGTGAATCAGGCCTTCCATGGTCGAATTGCTGCAAAGAAACCACTACTAAAGGACACCAATAAGAAGAAGAGACTTGCTTGGGCCAAGAAACACGAGCAATGGACATTAGACCGGTGGAAATTTGTCCTTTGGTCTGGAGTCCAAATTGGAGATTTTTGGTTTCAACCGCAGTGTCTTTGTGAGATGCGGTGTGGGTGAACGGATGATCTCTGCATGTGTATTTCCCACCGTAAAGCCGTAAAGCATGGAGGAGGAGGTGTTATGGTGATTTATTTAGAATTCAAGGTACACTTAACCAGCATGGCTACCACAGCATTCTGCAGCGATACGCCATCCCATCTGGTTTGGGCTTAGTGGGACTATCATTTGTTTTTCAACAGGACAATGACCCAACACACCTCCAGGCTGTGTAAGGGCTATTTTACCAAGAAGGAGAGTGATGGAGTGCTGCATCAGATGACCTGGCCTCCACAATCCCCCGACCTCAACCCAATTGAGATGGTTTGTGATGAGTTGGACCGCAGAGTGAAGGAAAAGCAGCCAACAAGTGCTCAGCATATGTGGGAACTCCTTCAAGACTGTTGGAAAAGTATTCCAGGTGAAGCTGATTGAGAGAATGCCAAGAGTGTGCAAAGCTGTCATCAAGGCAAAGGGTGGCTACTTTGAAGAATCTCAAATATAAAATATATTTTGATTTGTTTAACACTTTTTTGGTGACCCTGACTGTTGTTGTGTGTGTGTAGTTTCCCTGACTGTTGTTGTGTGTGTGTAGTTACTCTGACTGTTGTTGTTTTGTGTGTAGTTTCCCTGACGGTTGTTGTGTGTGTGTGTAGTTACTCTGACTGTTGTTGTGTGTGTGTAGTTACTCTGACTGTTGTTGTTTTGTGTGTAGTTTCCCTGACGGTTGTTGTGTGTGTGTGTAGTTTCCCTGACTGTTGTTGTTTTGTGTGTAGTTTCCCTGACTGTTGTTATTTTGTGTGTAGTTACCCTGACTGTTGTTGTTGTATTGTGTGTAGTTTCCCTGACTGTTGTTGTTTTGTGTGTAGTTACCCTGACTGTTGTTGTTGTTTTGTGTGTAGTTTCCCTGACTGTTGTTGTTTTGTGTGTAGTTTCCCTGACTGTTGTTGTTTTGTGTGTGTAGTTTCCCTGACTGTTGTTGTTTTCTGTGTGTAGTTTCCCTGACTGTTGTTGTTTTGTGTGTGTAGTTTCCCTGACTGTTGTTGTTTTGTGTGTGTAGTTACCCTGACTGTTGTTGTTTTGTGTGTGTAGTTACCCTGACTGTTGTTGTTTTGTGTGTGTAGTTATCCTGACTTGTTGTTGTTCTTCTTCCTCTAGAAAAACATCACATCACATGGTGCTAGGCCCCCCTGCAGTAAGCAGAGGTTTCAGAGACCAGAGTCCTTTGAGCAGGCTCCCATGTACGTAGCTGTGATGACATACCTAGGGTTCGGCATCGTCACCCTGTTCGGATACTTCAGGGACTTCCTCAGAGCAGTAGGACTGGAGAAATGTCACATCGCCAGGGAGAGAGAGGAGCAGAAGGTAGAGATATACAGTACCAGTCAAAAGTTTGGACACCTACTCATTCAAGGGTTTTTCTTTATTTGTACTATTTTCTACAGAATAATAGTGAAGACATCAAAACAATGAAATAACACATGGAATCATGTAGTAACCAAAAAAGTGTTAAACAAATCAAAATATATGTTATATTTAATATTCTTCAAATAGCCACCCTTTGCCATGATGAAGGCTTTGCACACTCTTGGCATTCTCTCAACCAGCTTCACCTGGAATACTTTTCCAACAGTCTCGAGTTAATTGAGGTAATGTGGGTAGAGTTAAAGTGACTATGCATAGATAATAAACAGAGTAGCAGCAGCGTAAAAGAGGGGGTGGGGTGTGGGGGCAATGCAAATAGTCTGGGTAGCCATGATTAGCTGTCCTGTTGAAAAACAAATGATAGTCCCACTAAGCCCAAACCAGATTAGATGGTGTATCACTGTAGAATGCTGTGGTAGCCATGCTGGTTAAGTGTGCCTTGAATTCTAAATAAATCACAGACAGTGTCACTAGCAAAGCACCCCCACACCATAACACCTCCTCCTCCATGCTTTACGGTGGGAAATACACATGCGGAGATCATCCGTTCACCCACACCGCGTCTCACAAAGACACAGCGGTTGGAACCAAAAATCTCAAATTTGGACTCGTCTAATGTCCAACTGGTGAGTTCTGTTCTTCTATTTTCTGTTCTGCCCTGCTCTGTTCTGCTATATTCTGCTCTGTTCTGTCCTGTTCTGCTCTGTTCTGCCCTGTTCTGCTCTGTGCTGCTCTGTTCTGTTCTGCTCTGCTCTGCTCTGTTCTGTTCTGCTCTGCCCTGTTCTGTCCTGTCCTGTCCTGTTCTGTTCTGTTCTGCTCTGCTCTGCTCTGTCCTGTCCTGTCCTGTCCTGTCCTGTCCTGTCCTGTTCTGTCCTGTTCTGTTCTGCTCTGCTTCGCCTTGGTCCTAAGGGAGCTCTTTGAACATAGCTGTTAGATCAGAAGCTGTTCAAATAACCTTTTTGACAACAACACCATATCCAGTGTACTCCTCTTACAGTGGGTGATCTCTATACCCCATTAGGAGTAGTTCACTGCACCACCACACTAAGTATTCAAACATACTTACCACTTACAGTGGGGAGAACAAGTATTTGATACACTGCCGATTTTGCAGGTTTTCCTACTTACAAAGCATGTAGAGGTCTGTAATTTTTATCCTAGGTACACTTCAACTGTGAGAGACGGAATCTAAAACAAAAATCCAGAAATTCACACTGTATGATTTTTAAGTAATTAATTTGCATTTTATTGCATGACATAAGTATTTGATCACCTACCAACCAGTAAGAATTCTGGCTCTCACAGACCTGTTAGTTTTTCTTTAAGAAGCCCTCCTGTTCTCCACTCATTACCTGTATTAACTGCACCTGTTTGAACTCGTTACCTGTATAAAAGACACCTGTCCACACACTCAATCAAACAGACTCCAACCTCTCCCCAATGGCCAAGACCAGAGAGCTGTGTAAGGACATTAGTGATAAAATTGTAGACCTGCACAAGGCTGGGATGGGCTACAGGACAATAGGCAAGCAGCTTGGTGAGAAGGCTGTTGGCACAATTATTAGAAAATGGAAGAAGTTCAAGATGACGGTCAATCACCCTCGGTCTGGGGCTCCATGCAAGATTTCACCTCGTGGGGCATCAATGATCATGAGGAAGGTGAGGGATCAGCCCAGAACTACACGGCAGGACCTGGTCAATGACCTGAAGAGAGCTGGGACCACAGTCTCAAAGAAAACCATGAGTAACACACTACGCCGTCATGGATTAAAATCCTGCAGCGAATGCAAGGTCCCCCTGCTCAAGCCAGCACATGTCCAGGCCCGTCTGAAGTTTGCCAATGACCATCTGGATGATCCAGAGGAGGAATGGGAAAAGGTTATGTGGTCTGATGAGACAAAAATATAGCTTTTTGGTCTAAACTCCACTCGCCGTGTTTGGAGGAAGAAGAAGGATGAGTACAACCCCAAGAACACCATCCCAACCGTGAAGCATGGAGGTGGAAACATCATTCTTTGGAGATGCTTTTCTGCAAAGGGGACAGGACGACTGCACTGTATTGAGGGGAGGATGGATGGGGCCATGTATCGTGAGATCTTGGCCAACAACCTCCTTCCCTCAGTAAGAGCATTGAAGATTGGTCGTGGCTGGGTCTTCCAGCATGACAACAACCCAAAACACACAGCCAGGGCAACTAAGGAGTGGCTCCGTAAGAAGCATCTCAAGGTCCTGGAGTGTCCTAGCCAGTCTCCAGACCTGAACCCAATAGAAAATCTTTGGAGGGAGCTGAAAGTCCGTATTGCCCAGTGACAGCCCCGAAACCTGAAGGATCTGGAGAAGGTCTGTATGGAGGAGTGGGCCAAAATCCCTGCTGCAGTGTGTGCAAACCTGGTCAAGACCTACAGGAAACGTATGATCTCTGTAATAGCAAACAAAGGTTTCTGTACCAACTATAAAGTTCTGCTTTTCTGATGTATCACATACTTATGTCATGCAATAACATGCAGATTAATTACTTAAAAATCATACAATGTAATTTTCTGGATTTTTGATTCCGTCTCTCACAGTTGAAGTGTACCTATGATAAAAATGACAGACCTCTACATGCTTTGTAAGTAGGAAAACCTTCAAAATCGGCAGTGTATCAAATACTTGTTCTCCCCACTGTATGTGCCATGAAGCAATCAAGCTGTACTGTGATAATAAACCTGTTTCAATATTATCCTCAGGATTTCGTCCCGCTGTATCAAGACTTTGAGAACTTCTACACCCGTAACCTGTACATGAGAGTGAGAGACAGCTGGAACAGACCTATCTGCAGTCTGCCCGGCCCTGTGTTCGACGTGATGGAGAGGGTGTCCCCAGATCACAACTGGACATTCAGGTACTGACACTTCCTGTTTACACTAGCCAAATGGGTCATCTGGATCAGAACCCCAGATTTTTACAGAGGAGTGCTGATCTAGTGTCAGTTTTTCCTTTGTAGATAACGATGGGTCAGACTACATGGAGACCTGATCCTCCATCAGAACTCCTACTCTGAGACACTTTGGGTCAGATTACATGGACAGGGAGGACCGGATCCTCCATCAGAACTCCTACTCTGAGACACTTTGTGAATATGGGGCCGAGGTGCTAAGGCTAAGAACAAATGTAATAAAAAAAAATATTGATTGATATGTTTACTGTATTGTGTACTGGTAGACTCAGTGGTGAATAATAACTTATTGTGTTATGTTGTAGGTTGGTTTCCACTAATCAGTGGTGAATAATAACTTATTGTGTTATGTTGTAGGTTGGTTTCCACTAATCAGTGGTGAATAATAACTTATTGTATTATGTTGTAGGTTGGTTCCCACTAATCAGTGGGGAATAATAACTTATTGTATTATGTTGTAGGTTGGTTCCCACTAATCAGTGGGGAATAATAACGTATTGTATTATGTTGTAGGTTGGTTCCCACTAATCAGTGGTGAATAATAACTTATTGTATTATGTTGTAGGTTGGTTCCCACTAATCAGTGTTGAATAATAACGTATTGTATTATGTTGTAGGTTGGTTCCCACTAATCAGTGGTGAATAATAGCTTATTGTATTATGTTGTAGGTTGGTTCCCACTAATCAGTGGTGAATAATAGCGTATTGTATTATGTTGTAGGTTGGTTCCCACTAATCAGTGGGGAATAATAACGTATTGTATTATGTTGTAGGTTGGTTCCCACTAATCAGAGGTGAATAATAACGTATTGTATTATGTTGTAGGTTGGTTCCCACTATTACTGTCATTCAATAAAGTTGTGTGTGCATTTGTCTGTTTGTGCCTCCCAGACATACATGTGCAACGAAATCAGTTGTTCACATGTCTGTAACATAAACATCGATACAAACAGGTTAGAAAATGATTAGTACATGTTCACATTAACAGAGAAGACCATTGACAACGTCCTCAACATGGATTTAACGTCGGTCCGTCTGTGTGTTTTTTAGTTCAACAGTGAAGACTATAGACCACCTCATCAACATGGATTTAACGTCTGTCTGTTTTCAGTTTAACAGGGAAGACTATAGACAACGTCATCAACATGGGTTCCTATAACTACCTGGGTTTCGCTGAGAACAACGCTGATTTCCTGAAGACTGTGGAAGACATTACCCAGCAGTATGGCCTCGGGGTCTGTAGCACACGACAGGAAATGGGTGAGCAGTGTGGGTGTGGAGGGTTGGAGCTGGGAAGGTGGGGGTCTGTGTGTGTGGGGGGAGGGAGGTTGGAGGGTTGGACTGGGAAGGTGGGGGTCTGTGTGTGTGGGGGGAGGGAGGTTGGAGGGTTGGACTGGGAAGGTGGGGGTCTGTGTGTGTGTGTGGGGGGGGGGAGGGTTGGAGCTGGGAAGGTGGGGGTCTGTGTGTGTGGGGGGGAGGGTTGGAGCTGGGAAGGTGGGGGTCTGTGTGTGTGTGTGGGGGGGAGGGTTGGACTGGGAAGGTGGGGGTCTGTGTGTGTGTGGGGGGGGGGGAGGGTTGGAGCTGGGAAGGTGGGGGTCTGTGTGTGTGTGTGGGGGGGAGGGTTGGAGCTGGGAAGGTGGGGGTCTGTGTGTGTGGGGGGAGGGTTGGACTGGGAAGGTGGGGGTCTGTGTGTGTGGGGGGGAGGGAGGTTGGAGGGTTGGACTGGGATGGTGGGGGTCTGTGTGTGTGGGGGAGGGTTTGGACTGGGAAGGTGGGGGTCTGTGTGTGTGGGGGGAGGGAGGTTGGAGGGTTGGAGCTGGGAAGGTGGGGGTCTGTGTGTGTGTGTGGGGGGAGGGTTGGAGCTGGGAAGGTTGGGGGTCTTGTGTGGTGGTGTGTGGGGGGTGGAGGTTGGAGGGTTGGACTGGGAAGGATGGGAGGGTGTGTCTGGTTTGTTGGTGTGTGTGGTGGGGGTATCGGGTTTTGTGTGTGTGGTGTGGGGGGGGGGTATAGGGGTTTTGGTGTTGTGTGTTGGTGGGGGGGGGGTGTAGGGGTTTGTGTGTGTGGTGTGGGGGGGGGGGGGGTGTTCGGGCTTCTGTGGTGTGTGGTGTTCCGGGGGGGGGGGGGGGCGGGGTCTGCGGGTTGTGTTGTTGGGGGGGTGCGTTTGAGGTTGGCCTGGGCAGGCGGGCGGTGTGTCTGGTTTTGTGTTTTGTGTGTTGTGTCGGGGGGGGGGGGGGATAAAAACGGTGTGTTTGTGTGTTTTGTGTGTTGTTGTGGGGTGGGGGGGGGGGGTCTCGGGGTGTTTGGTGTGGTGGGGGGTGTCCCCAAACGTGTCGTGATATCCGGTTTAAACCATTCAACTCCTAAGCCAGCCACTCTTTATCCACTCGGTTTGAAATAGAACTGAACTGCTCACATCTTGTCTGTATCCCAAATGGCTCTCTATTACGTAAATAGGGCACTACTTTATTGCTCTGGTCTAAAGTAGTGCACTATATAGGGAATAGGGTGCCATTCTCTGGTCTAAAGTAGTGCACTAGATGGGGAATAGGGTGCCATTCTCTGGTCTAAAGTAGTGCACTATATAGGGAATAGGGTGCCATTCTCTGGTCTAAAGTAGTGCACTAGATGGGGAATAGGGTGCCATTCTCTGGTCTAAAGTAGTGCACTATATAGGGAATAGGGTGCCATTCTCTGGTCTAAAGTAGTGCAGTATATAGGGAATAGGGTGCCATTCTCTGGTCTAAAGTAGTGTACTATATAGGGAATAGGGTGCCATTCTCTGGTCTAAAGTAGTGCGCTATATAGGGAATAGGGTGCCATTCTCTGGTCTAAAGTAGTGTACTATATAGGGAATAGGGTGCCATTCTCTGGTCTAAAGTAGTGCACTATATAGGGAATAGGGTGCCATTCTCTGGTCTAAAGTAGTGCACTATATAGGGAATAGGGTGCCATTCTCTGGTCTAAAGTAGTGCACTATATAGGGAATAGGGTGCCATTCTCTGGTCTAAAGTAGTGCACTAGATGGGGAATAGGGTGCCATTCTCTGGTCTAAAGTAGTGCACTATATAGGGAATAGGGTGCCATTCTCTGGTCTAAAGTAGTGCACTAGATGGGGAATAGGGTGCCATTCTCTGGTCTAAAGTAGTGCACTAGATGGGGAATAGGGTGCCATTCTCTGGTCTAAAGTAGTGCACTATAAAGGGAATAGGGTGCCATTCTCTGGTCTAAAGTAGTGTACTATATAGGGAATAGGGTGCCATTCTCTGGTCTAAAGTAGTGCACTAGATGGGGAATAGGGTGCCATTCTCTGGTCTAAAGTAGTGCACTATATAGGGAATAGGGTGCCATTCTCTGGTCTAAAGTAGTGCACTAGATGGGGAATAGGGTGCCATTCTCTGGTCTAAAGCAGTGCACTATATAGGGAATAGGGTGCCATTCTCTGGTCTAAAGTAGTGCACTATATAGGGAATAGGGTGCCATTTGGGACGCAGCCCCATTCTGTGTGTTTCTGGGGAGCACTAAAGCACTTGTAGTGTCCACCTGACGTGAGCCACTCCTTCAACCAGTATCAGTCTTATCTATGGAGTATCAAATCAAATTTGATTGGTCACATACACGTGTTTAGCAGATGTTACTGCGGGTATAGCGAAACGCTCGTCTTCTACTGTAGCCGTGTAAAAAACCTTCACCATATCTTTTGAAGTCGATAGTATTGAACCACTCTCCCCTTAAGGAGTTGGACACGGCCAGTTCTTTGTTAATACCTATAGTTTTACGAGCTGTATAAATTCCTCTCTTCTATAACCTACCACTTACATAAGATTCTATAACCTACAGTTTGTTCGGAAAGTATTCAGACCCTTTGAATTTTTCCACATTTTGTTAAGTTACAGCCTTATTCTAAAATTTATTAAATTGTTTTTCCCCCCTCATCAATCTACACACAATACCCCATAATGACAAAGCAGAAACTGGTTTTTAATAGTTTTTGCAAATTTGTGACCGACCGCCTTGATTTGGTCTTATGTAGCAAAGAAATTGTATTTTTTACATTGGATAAAAGCAGAGACACAGAGCTACAAAATGGGATATCATACACTGCATTTAAGGAACAATGGAAAAGTAATTCTGCTTTGAAAGTTGATAAACTTGTAACCTCACTTTTGAGAAAATGGCCTTTGAATGTTTTGGTACCTAGTGAAGAGCTCTTCTTTGTCCTCACCCATTCAGCATCGTTCACACCCTCTTAAGCTTTAGCCCCACACATCTAATTTAGCTCTCGGAGCATTCAGAGCGCACACTTGACGCTCTGGCCGATGAGTAGGGTTGATCGGAACGTTCTGACCTCACAACGGCAGTCAAGCACCCAAGCTAACTGGCTAACGTTGGCTAGCTTGCTATTTACTTTCAGACACAAAATTGGGATTATGGTTAATTGTTTACCTCTGGATAACTTGAAAACAGCCTAACCAGCTCAACTGGCAACAATTTAATTACACTTTTTTGCCGACGTTTACTGACACCGGCCATATTCAACGGGTGTTGTGTGTTCGTAAATTCATCAGTTATTCTGTGCTCTGGCATACTCAGACTGAATTTACGAATGCACCCGAAATGGTTATTTGCATAGCGGAGTCTTTTGTTAAGACATGTAGCTAGCTAGCTAGCTAAACAATTAACCTAGCTAGGTAAACAACTTGTAAGTTCATATACGTCACGTAACGTTAGCTAGCGAGCCAGTCATGTCGTTTCTACCCTGCATGAATCTGCTGGTAGCTAACCAACCATGTTCAATGTTAGCTAGCTAACATTAGGCTCTAACTAGCAAAGCAAGTGGCTCTGAGATCCGAATAATAACATCATACACATAACGTTAGCTAGCGAGCCAGCCAGCTAACGTTAGCTAGCTAGCAAACAGTACACTTGAAATTAAACCACTTTCTGTAAAAATTAGAAACGTGTAATATGTGAAAATTTAGCTAGCTAGTCTATGCATGATGGACGCGTCTCTCTGTCACAGATGCCATGGTTGCCCTTCGTTTGAAGATGTAATCCGGAGACAGGTTTTTTCTCCATCTCTTTAGCTATCATACTCTCTAATTCCACTGATTTAAAAACTCGATCCTCCAGAAAGTGGAGAGCAACACTTATGCAGCTCCACTACACAATGCATTAAAAAAAGCAGCTTTAGACAGGATTACCTACACATACTGACCAGCTCAAATAGACAGAAGCCTTCTATATGGCAGACCAATCCGGACTCCTCTCTCTGCATGTCCAGCCCACTCATTATCTCAGCCAATCATGGCTAGGGAGAAGGTTGCTGTCTTTTTCTGTGGCTTAACCAACTAGGTTTGTAATTTAACCATTTTATTCGTATTTACTGATGGCATACAAGTTTGTTATTAAGGCACATGAAAGTTCACATGTTCCAGAATGCATTTCTGCCCCCAAAAGTTATTTTGATTAGTTTACGTTAAAATGGTTCTCCTGTGAAGTAGTAAACCGCAACATACGCCTAGTTTCCTGAAACGAGTCACATTTCTTAAAATACTATTTACATAAGTATTCAGACACTTTACTTTGTTGAAGCACCTTTGGCAGTGATTACAGCCAAAGGTGTTTCTCCTATTCTTCTCTGCAGATCCTCTCAAGCTCTGTCAGGTTGGATGGGGAGCGTTGCTGCACAGCTATTTTCAGGTCTCTCCAGAGATGTTCGATCGGGTTCAAGTCCAGGCTCTGGCTGGGCCACTCAAGGACATTGAGACTTGTCCCGAAGCCACTCCTGCGTTGTCCTGTTGGAAGGTGAACCTTCCCCAGCTCTGTGCCTCGACACAATCCTGTCTCTGAGCTCTACGGACAATACCTTCGACCTCATGTCTTGGTTTTTGCTCTGACATGCACTATCAACTCTGGGACCTTATATAGACAGGCGTGGGCCTTTCCATATCATGTCCAATCAGTTGAAGAAACATCTCAAGGATGATCAACGGAAACAGGATGCACCTGAGCTCAATTTCGAGTCTCATAGCAAAGGGTCTGAATACTTGTATAAATAAGGTATTTCTTTTTTTTATTTGTAATGCATTTGCAAAAAAAATCTAAAAACCTGTTTTCGCTTTGTCATTATGGGGTATTGTGTGTAGATTGATTAGGAAAAATAATAATTTACCACTTACATAAGAGTCTATAACCATTTTAGGATAAGGCTGTAACGTAACAAAATGTGGAAAAAGTCAAGGGGTCTGAATAATTTCAGAATACACTGTATGTCAAGATGGGTGAGAAAAATTGACATCACATCACTTCCTGTTGAACGTGGAACGATGTTGTTTTGGAAAGTCTTACTAGCTAGCTACCGCTAGCTACCTTTTTGAGATTGGATCCCAGTTGCACCGCTACTATCTGTCCAGTGATTCAATGCCAGGTCTGAGGAGCTGTTTGGCTCTGTTAATACTAACAAAAGAAAAGACCTGAAGAACAGTTTGCAGTTCTCCCAGGGTCAGCTCGACGAGTTTAAACAGCAGAACGGCAAGACGACAGCAATCTGTAAGTCGTTGAGAGAGGACATCAGTTCTGTATGTGATAACAATCACGAGGGACAATCAAAGCAGGAACAACATGGTTGTGGACAGAATTGCACAACCTCCACATGAGACCTGGGCAGAGTCTGAGGACAAAGTGAGGGAAATGATCTCTGAGAAACGGAAGATGGACCACAGGAAGATTGAGGTGGAGAGGGCCCACAGGACTGGAAAACCCACCACCGGCCCAGGTGACAGGCCCAGGCTGATACTGGTCAAGTTCTTGAGGTTCAAGGACAAGGTTGCTGTTCTGGAAAGAGCCAAGAACTTGAGAGGAACGTATATATCTTCCTCAACGAGGACAATCCTGAAGCTGTGCGCCAGAAGAGGAAAGAACTTATCCTAGCCATGAAAGCTGCCAGAGCGCGTGGGGACGTTGCTTACATCCGCTATGACAGGCTCATTGTCCACCCTCCCTCCCAAAAGCCTGGAAGGGATGAGAGAGCCAAGCCTATGTGTTTGTAGCTTCAACCCCACAGCACACACACACACCAACTGATTAATGGACTGCTGAATGTATATATTCTCTTGCTTTGTTTGCTCTTTTCCATATTATGTTGATCTCTGATAAGCTACACAGGAAAGGGCTGTAAATAGCCCATATTAATATATGTAGCCTTAGAGATAAGGTTCATGAAATCAATAACTTGCTAACATCAGATAACATTCATATATTAGCCATTTCTGAGACTGACTTAGATAATTAATTTGATGATATAGCAGTAGCAATACAAGGATATAACATCTATAGAAGAGACAGAAATGCTTATGGGGGAGGTGTTGCTGTATTTATTCAGAGCCATTTTTCTTTGGCAAGATTAGCAAAATTAGGCATGACAGCAACAAATGCTGACACTACACATACAAGTATATCTGACCAAATTATGAAAGACAAGCATTGTACTTTTGAATTCCGTAGAGTGAGTGTGGAAGAGGTGAAAAAAGTATTGTTGTCTATCAACAATGACAAGCCACCGGTGTCTGACAACTTGGATGGAAAATTTACTGAGGATAATAGCAGACGATATTGCCACTCCTATTTGCCATATCTTCAATCTAAGCCTACTAGAAAGTGTGTGCCCTCAGGCCTTTAGGGAAGCAAAAGTAAATCCGCTACCCAAGAATAGTAAAGCCCCCTTTACTGGCTCAAATAGCTGACCTAATTGACAGCAGACTTTCAGCACGCTTATAGGAAAGGACATTCAACAAGCACGGCACTTACACAAATGACTGATGATTGGCTGAGAGAAATTGATAATAAAAACGATTGTGGGAACTGTTTTGTTAGACTTTTGACATTATCGATCATAGTCTGCTTCTGGAAACATTTATGTGTTATGGAACACACTTAATGTGTTGTGAAAAGTGTTATGAAATGTAATGTCATACATTTTAAATTGTATATAACTGCCTTAATGTTGCCGGACCCCAGGAAGAGTAGCTGCTGCCTTGGCAGGAACTAATGGGGATCCATAATAAACCCCAGAAAGAGTAGCTGCTGCCTTGACAGGAACTAATAGGGATACATAATAAACCCCAGGAAGAGTAGCTGCTGCCTTGGCAGGAACTAGTGGGGATCCATAATAAACCCCAGGAAGAGTAGCTGCTGCCTTGACAGGAACTAATGGGGATCCATAATTAACCCCAGGAAGAGTAGCTGCTGCCTTGACAGGAACTAATGGGGATCCATAATAAACCCCCAGGAAGAGTAGCTGCTGCCTTGGCAGGAACTAGTGGGGATCCATAATAAACCCCCAGGAAGAGTAGCTGCTGCCTTGACAGGAACTAATGGGGATCCATAATAAATACAAATACAAATAACCTACCACTTACGTAAGATTCTATATCTACCACTTACATAAGATTCGATAACCTACCACTTCCGTAAGCTTCGATAACCTACCACTTACATAAGATTCGATAACCTACCACTTACGTAAGATTCGAAAACCTACCACTTACACAAGATTCTATATCTACCACTTACATAAGATTCTATATCTACCACTTACGTAAGATTCTATATCTACCACTTACATAAGATTCTATATCTACCACTTACATAAGATTCTATATCTACCACTTACATAAGATTCTGTCACACCCTGGCTCTGGGACTCTATATGTTGAGCCAGGGTGTGTTCATTCTATGTGTTCTGTTTTCTATGTTGGGTGTTTCTAGTTCGTCATTTTCTATGTTTGACCGAGTGACTCCCAATCAGAGGCAACGAGTGTCAGCTGTGTGCTGGTTGTCTCTGATTGGGAGCCATATTTAACTGGCTGTGTTTCACTTTGTTTTTGTTCCGTGTTCGGTCATTGTCACTGAGGACTTCACGAGTCGTTTTATTGTTTTGTTATTTCGTGTGTATGCTTTAAGTAAATAAAGCAAGTATGTTCGCAACTAACGCTGCGCTTTGGTCCACTCCTTCATACGACGTTCGTGACAGATTCTATATCTACCACTTACATAAGATTCCATAACCTACCACTTACATAAGATTCGATAACCTACCACTTACATAAGATTCTATATCTACCACTTATATAAGATTCTATATCTACCACTTACATAAGATTCTATATCTACCACTTACATAAGATTCTATATCTACCACTTACATAAGATTCTATATCTACCACTTACATAAGATTCTATATCTACCACTTACATAAGATTCGATAACCTACCACTTACATAAGATTCGATAACCTACCACTTACGTAAGATTCGATAACCTACCACTTACGTAAGATTCGATAACCTACCACTTACATAAGATTCGATAACCTACCACTTACATAACATTCTATAACCTACCACTTACATAAGATTCTATAACCTACCACTTACATAAGATTCTATAACCTACCACTTACATAAGATTCTATAACCTACCACTTACATAAGATTCTATAACCTACCACTTATATAAGATTCTATAACCTACCACTTACATAAGATTCTATAACCTACCACTTACATAATATTCTATAACCTACCACTTATATAAGATTCTATATCTACCACTTACATAAGATTCTATAACCTACCACTTACATAAGATTCTATAACCTACCACTTACATAAGATTCTATAACCTACCACTTACATAAGATTCTATAACCTACCACTTATATAAGATTCTATATCTACCACTTACATAAGATTCTATAACCTACCACTTACATAAGATTCTATAACCTACCACTTACATAAGATTCTATAACCTACCACTTATATAAGATTCTATAACCTACCACTTACATAAGATTCTATAACCTACCACTTACATAAGATTCTATATCTACCACTTACATAAGATTCTATAACCTACCACTTACATAAGATTCTATATCTACCACTTACATAAGATTCTATAACCTACCACTTACATAAGATTCTATAACCTACCACTTATATAAGATTCTATAACCTACCACTTACATAAGATTCTATAACCTACCACTTACATAAGATTCTATATCTACCACTTACATAAGATTCTATAACCTACCACTTACATAAGATTCTATATCTACCACTTACATAAGATTCTATAACCTACCACTTACATAAGATTCTATAACCTCTATATACTCTCTAGGTGCATTGTTCTGTGATGACAGCCAAAAGATCAAACTGACTGTGTAGTGTCCCAAATATTCTATATACCCTACACCCTATTCCCTATATAGTGCACTACTTTTGACCAATGCCCATTGGGAATAAAGTGCCATTTGGGATACAGCCCTTCCAAGTCTGGCCTATTTGAAATGGGAGAGGAAGTACTACAATGGGTTCTGGTCAAAAGGTAGTGATCCATATAGGGAATAGGGTGCATGGGTTCTGGTCAAAAGGTAGTGATCCATATAGGGAATAGGGTGCAAGGGCTCTGGTCAAAAGGTAGTGATCCATATAGGGAATAGGGTGCATGGGCTCTGGTCAAAAGGTAGTGATCCATATAGGGAATAGGGTGCATGGGCTCTGGTCAAAAGGTAGTGATCCATATAGGGAATAGGGTGCATGGGCTCTGGTCAAAAGGTAGTGATCCATATAGGGAATAGGGTGCAAGGGCTCTGGTCAAAAGGTAGTGATCCATATAGGGAATAGGGTGCATGGGCTCTGGTCCAAAAGGTAGTGATCCATATAGGGAATAGGGTGCATGGGCTCTGGTCCAAAAGGTAGTGATCCATATAGGGAATAGGGTGCAAGGGCTCTGGTCAAAAGGTAGTGATCCATATAGGGAATAGGGTGCATGGGCTCTGGTCAAAAGGTAGTGATATATATAGGGAATAGGGTGCAAGGGCTCTGGTCAAAAGGTAGTGATCCATATAGGGAATAGGGTGCATGGGCTCTGGTCAAAAGGTAGTGATCCATATAGGGAATAGGGTGCATGGGCTCTGGTCAAAAGGTAGTGATCCATATAGGGAATAGGGTGCAAGGGCTCTGGTCAAAAGGTAGTGATCCATATAGGGAATAGGGTGCATGGGCTCTGGTCCAAAAGGTAGTGATCCATATAGGGAATAGGGTGCATGGGCTCTGGTCCAAAAGGTAGTGATCCATATAGGGAATAGGGTGCAAGGGCTCTGGTCAAAAGGTAGTGATCCATATAGGGAATAGGGTGCATGGGCTCTGGTCAAAAGGTAGTGATCCATATAGGGAATAGGGTGCAAGGGCTCTGGTCAAAAGGTAGTGATCCATATAGGGAATAGGGTGCATGGGCTCTGGTCAAAAGGTAGTGATCCATATAGGGAATAGGGTGCAAGGGCTCTGGTCAAAAGGTAGTGATCCATATAGGGAATAGGGTGTCATTTGGGACTTACACTATTTTATCTCATTTATTATCTTTCTCCTCAATTAAAACAGAATCTTTAATTAACTTGGTAGCGGCTGCAACGTTGAATGAATTATTTAATCTGTGTTAAATGATGTACAGTGTGAAGCACAAGCCTGGATCATTACCCCGGGGCCCATCCACTGAGTGTGTGTGTAGAGAGGAAATGCTATCATGGTTGTACTGTAACATCATGAAACAGACTTAAAACAGGCCACATGAACATACAGTGAGGGGAAAAAAGTATTTGATCCCCTGCTGATTTTGTACGTTTGCCCACTGACCAAGACATGATCAGTCTATCATTTTAATGGTAGGTTTATTTGAACAGTGAAAGACAGAATAACAACAAAGAAATCCAGAAAAACGCATGTCAAAAATGTTATGAATAGATTTGCATTTTAATGAGGGAAATAAGTATTTGACCCCTCTGCAAAACATGACTTAGTACTTGGTGGCAAAACCCTTGTTGGCAATCACAGAGGTCAGACGTTTCTTGTAGTTGGCCACCAGGTTTGCACACATCTCAGGAGGGATTTTGATCCACTCCACTTTGCAGATCTTCTCCAAGTAATTAAGGTTTTGAGGCTGTCGTTTGGCAACTCGAACCTTCAGCTCCCTCCACAGATTTTCTATGGGATTAAGGTCTGGAGACTGGCTAGGCCACTCCAGGACCTTAATGTGCTTCTTCTTGAGCCACTCCTTTGTTTCCTTGGCCGTGTGTTTTGGGTCATTGTCATGCTGGAATACCCATCCACGACCCATTTTCAATGCCCTGGCTGAGGGAAGGAGGTTCTCACCCAAGATTTGATGGTACATGGCCCCGTCCATCGTCCCTTTGATGCGGTGAAGTTGTCCTGTCCCCTTAGCAGAAAAACACCCCCAAAGCATAATGTTTCCACCTCCATGTTTGACGGTAGGGATGGTGTTCTTGGGGTCATAGGCAGCATTCCTCCTCCTCCAAACACGGTGAGTTGAGTTGATGCCAAAAAGCACGATTTTGGTCTCATCTGACCATAACACTTTCACCCAGTTCTCCTCTGAATCATACAGATGTTCATTGGCAAACTTCAGACGGGCCTGTATATGTGCTTTCTTGAGCAGGGGGACTTTGCGTGCGCTGCAGGATTTCAGTCCTTCATAGCGTAGTGTGTTACCAATGGTTTTCTTGGTGACTATGGTCCCAGCTGCCTTGAGATCATTGACAAGATCCTCCCGTGTAGTTCTGGGATGATTCCTCACCGTTTTCATGATCATTGCAACTCCACGAGGTGAGATCTTGCATGGAGCCCCAGGCTGAGGGAGATTGACAGTTATTATGTGTTTCTTCCATTTGCAAATAATCGCACCAACTGTTGTCACCTTCTCACCAAGCTGCTTGGCGATGGTCTTGTAGCCCATTCCAGCCTTGTGTAGGTCTACAATCTTGTCCCTGACATCCTTGGAGAGCTCTTTGGTCTTGGCCATGGTGGAGAGTTTGGAATCTGATTGATTGATTGCATCTGTGGACAGGTGTTTTTTATACAGGTAACAAGCTAATATTAGGAGCACTCCCTTTAAGAGTGTGCTCCTAATCTCAGCTCGTTACCTGTATAAAAGACACCTGGGAGCCAGAAATCTTTCTGATTGAGAGGGGGTCAAATACTTATTTCCCTCATTAAAATGCAAATCAATTTATAACATTTTTGACATGCGTTTTTCTGGATTTCTGTTGTTGTTATTCTGTCTCTCACTGTTCAAATAAACCTACCATTAAAATTATAGACTGATCATTTCTTTGTCAGTGGGCAAACGTACCAAAATCAGCAGGGGATCAAATACTTTTTTCCCCTCACTGTAGCATAGTGTTAGAGACTAGACAGGGGAAGGAAGAGTTGTGTCTCAGTTGGTGAAAGCGTTGGCGCTAGCAACACTAGGGTCATGGGTTCAATTCCCACTGGGGTCACCATATATAAAAATATATATATACTCACTGGAAGACATTCTGGATAAAAGCATCTTCTAAATGGCATCTATAAGAAGAGTTGATTGTCTCAGAGTTGTTTTGGCGCTAATTTCTCACAGCTCTTTATTCAGATGAGAAGAACGCTATCAGTCGAAATACCTTTCCTCAGGGCAAAAACCTGACGTAGCGTAAAATCGACGTCCATATTGGTCGATTGTTTTTAATTGAGTTGTCAACAAAATGTGAATTATACTCTAGGTAAACCCAGTTTCGTAGGCAGAGGGGCTGCGGAAGAAGAGCCGAGTTACCGTGAGTGTAATTTTTCTGCAGCTTTTAACCCAGTGCGTCGCTGAGATGAGAAGAGTGCTGTCTGTCTAAATATCTCTGTAGTGTTACAGGATTCCCAACCTGGTCCGATCAGGTTTCAGCTGCTTCCCAAACTCTCAGGTTGCGTCCCAAATAGGCACCCTATTCCCTATATAGTGCACCACCTTTCGGCGGAGGTACTGCAGGGGGTCTGCAGCTAGACCTACACATAAACAATAAATAACAAAAAAAAAAAACGTATTTATTAATTCAATTAATATTACTAACAACAACAGATTAAACTGATTTTGGCCAAGGGATCCGTGGAATAAGTTTAGCGGGTGTAATACAATGCAATGTAATATTATTAATGTACAATTTTCTGTTCTTAACTCTGGGAAACATGGGCCTGGGAGGCTTACAGGGATATTGGTATCCACAGTAGTCCACCAATTATATTATATTATATTATATATATATATATATATATATAAATAAATGTTTCAACTCAATACTTATTGTATCCCCCCCCCCCCCACCCCAATTATTTTTTTAAACATAAATGCACTGTAATTTAAGCTTTAAAACTATCCTTAAAAACATGATCCAAAGTGATATTTAAGACCAACTAAAAGCTGGTTTTAGCGATAATTGCATTTACATTTACATAATTTAGCAGACGCTCTTATCCAGAGCGACTTACAAATTGGTGCATTCAACTTATGATAGCCAGTGGGGGGTGGGGGAAGAAGGATTACTTTTATACTATTCCAGGTATTCCTTAAAGAGGTAGGGTTTCAAATGTCTCCGGAAGGTGGTCAGTGACTCCGCTGTCCTGGCGTCGTGAGGGAGCTTGTTCCACCATTGGGGTGCCAGAGCAGCGAACAGTTTTGACTGGGCTGAGCGGGAACTATGCTTCCGTAGAGGTAGGGGAGCTAGCAGGCCAGAGGTGGATGAACGTAGTGCCCTCGTTTGGGTGTAGGGACTGATCAGAGCCTGAAGGTAAGGAGGTGCCGTTCCCCTCACAGCTCCGTAGGCAAGCACAATGGTCTTGTAGCAGATGCGAGCTTCAACTGGAAGCCAGTGGAGTGTGCGGAGGAGCGGGGTGACGTGAGAGAACCTGGGAAGGTTGAACACCAGACGGGCTGCGGCATTCTGGATGAGTTATCCAGCCGTGATGCACACTGCCCATATGCTCATGGAACAAGAGTAGCCTAATGTGCTTTTGGTGCCTGTATACTTCATATTTAGACATTTAAAAACTAACGTTTTTTTCAAATGCAGTCGCGAAGTAGTCAAGACAGTGGATAAAGGGGTTGGCTCCTGAGAACGCTTGGATATAAATCTTAATCACCAAAGCTTTATTACAATATCAAGTTTGAGAGGAGTTAAACAGTGAGCCGCCGTTCCCTTTTTATCTATGTATTGTAGGCAGGGCCACATTATTTATCTATGTATTGGAGGCAGGGCCACATTATTTATCTATGTATTGGAGGCAGGGCCACATTATTTATCTATGTATTGGAGGCAGGGCCACATTATTTATCTATGTATTGGAGGCAGGGCCACATTATTTATCTATGTATTGGAGGCAGGGCCACATTATTTATCTATGTATTGGAGGCAGGGCCACATTATTTATCTATGTATTGGAGGCAGGGCCACATTATTTATCTATGTATTGGAGGCAGGGCCACATTATTTATCTATGTATTGTAGGCAGGGCCACATTATTTATCTATGTATTGGAGGCAGTGCCACATTATTTTAGCCATGTAGGTCTCGTTTTGGACCTGCGTAAAACCGTCCATAGTCTGCATTGTTTTAATATGATATGCCCACGGGGAAAAATTATGGGGCCTGTAAGTGTGAAATAGCCTATTGAAAACAAGTTGTTTTGTTTTTAGAATTTGATTAGAGTTATTAGTTCTCTTTTTAGGCCTTATCAATAAGTAATTTAATCTTGTTTATTGACAATGTTTGGTATGTCCATGCTCAGCCAGAATGTAATTTACAGTAGGCCTAGCCCCTATATCAGTGTGAATGCTATTGAAGCCGTGCAATTACTTAGAACAATGTGGACTGCAAATGGGTTCAAGTTAACACGTTCAGCAAAGATAGGTCTACAGTTTGTTCTTTAGTTTCTGTAAGCCATTTAACAACAGACCGTAAATACACAACCTGAAGTAACCCCATATTTCGCCATGGAGCACGTTCTGATTGGCCAGTGAGGGGCCGAGCCTCGAACACACCCACAACTTGTTTATTCATCGAAACCCAGCCCTTTCACGCCAACAGCAGCAAGTGCGCTGATAATTGTAACAGTGAAAATAGCTAAAATATTTCATAGCGCTATCGCCTGTGCTTAGATTAACCATGGTGTAAAAACATATCGTTTAAATAGAGCCCCCTTGTACACTGTTTTTTATCTCACTCTAGTTGTATTCTGATTATGAGGGGGTCCCTGATACATTTGCTATCACAAAAAGGGGGTCCCCGGCCCTAAAAAAGTTTGAAAACCCCTATGGGATAAAGGTGTCATTCGGGACACAATTAGTATCTGTACTGAGGTGAAACCTGTTGAATGATTCACAGTTTTATACCAATCCAAGACACTTCAGATCCACCACTACACCATTTATACCTACCTAGGCCCAATCACACGTTAGGGTGGACTTTTTAAATGTAAACTTGAGTTAGTTTTGGAGATGAGTTGCAGAGTGTTTCACAGTGTTAACAGAGACGTCACCTCGGAGAAAAAGGGCAGTAAAACAGGAAAGCGGATCAATAAAAAAAAATAAAAAAAACCTTGTTGATCATTAATCATAACTGTATATGCAGCGCCTTCACAAAGTATTCACATCCCTTTGACTGATTCCACGTTGTTGTTGTTGTTGTTGTTGTTACAGCCTGAATTCAAAATGGATTAAATAGATATATATTTTTCTCTCACCCTATAATGACAAAGTGAAAACATGTTATTATAAAGTTTTGCTAATTTGAAATGAAATGAAATACATTGCACCCTGTTCCCCTACACAGTACACTACTTTTGACCATAGCCTTATGGGCAGAAGGGCGTGATTTGGGACGCTGCCATTCTCTCACGTCTTCCATCTGAATCAGATTTTGTTTGTCTAGGGTTGGAAACTGAAGCCCTTGCGTCAATCATTCACGGGATGTTGTTTGCATCCAAAACGGCACCCTATTCCCTATGTAGTGCGCTGATTTTTAGGGCTCTGGTTAAAAGTTGTGCGCTATATAGGGAATAAGGGTGGCGTTTGGGACATTGACTGGCCGACCGCTTCTTAGTTCTCGCACGATCATTAACAAAAACTCAATAGGTAAACCAACTATAGGTGACATATATCTATAGCTGTAAACTGTGCTGACACATACAGTACCTGTAAAAAATATAGAATGTAGAACTTTAGCTACAGATATTACTTTCCAGTGGTTGTAGTAGTACGTGTATGTATGTATGTATTTTTTAAAAAGTGAGTACAGTACTATTGTGATGTTGTATTATATAGACTTTTATATATTTTGTTACGGCTCTTTTTAGAGTGTCTCACCTGCACACACGCAATGTTAGAGATCTATAAATGATTAACTTAACTCTGGTGAGATGTAGCTACCGCAGTGTCCAATAAAACCAACCCAGTATCACAGATTACTTTGAAAAATAGACACACATTGCTTATTGGAAATTCGTGCCAGGCACTCGAAAAAGTTACTTTTTTAGTGTGCAGTACACGATTTTTTTTTGTATACAGTGAATTTTAATCACAGATAAAGAAAGTAGATTACTTAAGACAGAAACGATAGGAGTGAGGTTGGTCAGGGGAGGGTGGGTGGGCGTATAACGCGGCCGTCTAGCATCCCAAAACGTTGCATGTTCGAAACATGTCATGGACAACTTTATCACTTTAGCTAATTAGCAAACTTTGCAACAACTTAATACTTAACTACTTAGCTAGCATGTTAGCTAACCATAACCTTAGTCCTTTAACTACTTAGCTAGCATGTTAGCTAACCATAACCTTAGTCCTTTAACTACTTAGCTAGCATGTTAGCTAACCCTAATGCGACCGTCTAGCAACTGTTACGTTCCCCGGCAAGAAAACCAAAAATGTCGCTCAAACAGAAGGGGGAACTAACAAAGAGTCACTGACCTACAACCAAAATGAAACAGGTGGTTTTAGGAGGGGTTCTGAAAGACGCTCATGGGGGGTGTCCACTGAAAGTTGACTAGCAACAACAACTGGGACCTAAAAGCCGACCACCATGAGCGCCCACTAAATTTACCAAGAAGAGGCAAACAAAATAACAAACCTAAAGACAGGAAGTAAACCAGTGGAGCAAAATGAAAACAGGGGAAGATCAGACAAAGGAAGGTTTTTTCTAGAAATCAAATAGGGAGCGCCAACTAAAGGTGTTGACCCTCCACATCTCTCAAGACAACTGGAGCACTGGGCCAGCCAATCTTAAATATCACCTGGGCCAGCACAGGTGTAAAACATACTGACTAACGAGGTGACACCAACCGGTGTGCCCTACATGCTAACGTGCTATACGTGCCAAAAGTCAAAACATACATGGAACATAAATGGAAAAACCAAAAGCTTTAACAACTCAAACGTTACGTGTTCCAATCATGTCATGGACCAACTTTAGCATTTTAGCTAATTAACAACTTTGCAACACTTACTGCAAGAACGTGAACAAACACTACTAACGAACCCAACCTGTAACCCCAACCATAACCGCCAACGGACCCAACCGAACCCCGAACCGAACCCCTGAACCGAACCACTGAACGAACCGAACAACACGAACCGGAACCCAACCGGAACCGAACCTGACCACACGAACCCCGAACCGAACCACAACCGAACACACTAACCACACTAACACTTAAACAACCTGAACCAACCTTGAACCCTCCTAACCGAACCTACCCCTAACCTTAAAACAACCCTAACCTTAAACCAACCTTAACCCTAACCTTAACCCTAAACCTTACCTAACCCACCTAACCTACCTTAACCCCTATAACCTTAACCCCTAACCTTAACCCCTAACCTTAACCCTCTAACCTTAACCCCTAACCTTAACCCCTAACCTTAACCCCTAACCTTAACCCCTTACCTTAACCCCTAACCTAACCCCTAACCTTAACCTACCTAACCCCTAACCTTAACCCCTAACCTAACCTACCTAACCTTAACCCCTAACCTAACCCCTAACCTTAACCCCTAACCATTAACCCTTAACCTAACCTTAACCCTATACCAAACCCCTAACCTTAACCCCTATACCTTAACCCTAACCTTAACCCACTTAACCTAACCCATAACTCTAAAACCCCTACCTAACTACGTTAGCCTACCTTAACCTATTACCTTAAGAACCCTTGTACGTTAATACCCAAGCTTAACCCTAACAACTTAAACTCAACCAACTAACACGTTAAACCGCTAACTCTTAAGTCTCCATGCTAAGAATACGCTCAATCAAGGTTGAAACCCTTGGTATTTCAGACAGCCAGATCGTTGAAGTAAGAAGAGATTGGACAGTAATTGACTTACCACGTTAATGATGACGAGGGGTAGTGTAATGAATAGTTAATAATTCTAGATTAATGGGTAGATGATGATTAACTCGCATCAGAATCTAGTGACAAGGCGAACTTGAGTTGGAGCAGAGATACATTGTACGTGTCTGACCCCGGTTTAATCAGATAACTGTGTAGTGACATAATAATAATAATAATAATAATAATAATAATAATAATAATATGCCATTAGCAGATTGCTTTTATCCAAAGCGACTTACAGTATGTGCGCATACATTTTTACGTATCGGTGGTCACGGGGATCGAACCCACTACCCTGGCGTTACAAGCGCCATGCTCTACCAGCTGAGCTACAGAGGACCACATAAGGACCACAGAGGACCACATAATTGCCACTTGATTGAGGAAACTGAAGGGACTCAGGGCTTGTGCTGAGTACTGACTCCACTATCTCGCTCTCCTTCCCCAGACCATCCAAAAGACCTGAAGGAGCCACAGGTGGAATACAGATCAGTATTTAAAACAGTATACAGGCCTGGCTGAGTAAATGTTCTAGCTTCAAAAGAGAGCAGATGCTGATGATTCTGGCCAGCCAGCCAGCCAGTCAGGCCAGTCAGCCAGCCAGCCAGCGCAGTCAGCCAGCCAGTCCAGTCACCAGTCAGCCAGCAGCCAGTCAGCACAGCAGTCAGCAGTCAGCCAGTCAAGCCAGCATCAGTCCAGCCACTCGCAGCAGTCAGCAGGTCAGCCAGCCAGCCACCAGTCAGCCAGCCAGCCAGCCAGCCAGTCAGCAGCCAGTCATCAGCCAGCGCAGCCAGCCAGTCAGTCAGCCAGCCAGCCAGCAGCCCAGCATCAGCCAGCGCCCAGTCAGCCAGTCAGCCAGCAGCCAGCCCCGTCAGTCACAGCAGCCAGCCCCTCAGCCAGCCAGTCAGCCGAGCCAGCCAGTCAGCCAGCCAGCCAGCGCCAGTCAGCCAGTCCAGTCAGCCAGCCAGCAGCCAGCCAGTCAGCCAGCCAGCCAGCCAGTCAGCCAGTCCAGCCAGCCAGCCAGCCAGTCAGCCAGCCAGCAGACATTCTCACGTCGCCTAGCCAGCCAGTTAGGCAAGTCAGCCAGATTGACGCAGAGTTAAGCCAGTCAATGCAGAAGAGCCATCAGCAGCCAAGCCAGCAGTGCGCTCAGCTCATAGTCAGCCATCAGCCAGTCAAGCCAGCCCCGTCAGCCACCAGTAAGTCATTAAAGCGATATATATAATATTGATCATTGACATTATGTTTTAGGCTGTTCAATGCCTTAATTATTTCATTCTTATGTGTTGTTTTGGTCTATTCTCGCAATCCTGTATGTGTGTCATCTGTAATGTGTCATGCTTTGGTGTCATGACTGTGCTTGTCATGGCTGTAGCTGTGTGTCATGACTGTAGGCTGTGTGTCATGGCTGTAGCTGTGTGTCATGACTGTAGACTGTGTGTCATGACTGTAGCTGTGTGTCGACTGTAGACTGTGTGTCATGACTGTAGACTGTGTGTCATGACTGTAGGCTGTGTGTCATGACTGTAGACTGTGTGTCATGACTGTAGGCTGTGTGTCATGACTGTAGACTGTGTGTCATGACTGTAGGCTGTGTGTCATGACTGTAGGCTGTGTGTCATGGCTGTAGGCTGTGTGTCGTGACTGTAGGCTGTGTGTCATGGCTGTAGGCTGTGGTGTCATGACTGTAGGCTGTGTGTCATGACTGTAGGCTGTGTATCATGACTGTAGGCTGTGTGTCATGGCTGTAGGCTGTACTCCTGAGTGGCGCAGTGGTCTAAGGCACTGCATCGCAGTGCTAACTGTGCCACTAGAGATCCTGGTTCGAATCCAGGCTCTGTCGCAGCCGGCCGCGACCGGGAGACTCATGGGCGGCGCACAATTGGCCCAGCGTCGTCCAGGGTAGGGGAGGGAATGGATGGCAGGATGTAGCTCAGTTTGATAGAGCATGGCGTTTGCAACGCCAGGGTTGTGGGTTCAATTCCCTCGGGGGGCCAGTATAAAAAAAATATGTATTCACTAACTGTAAGTCGCTCTGGATAAGAGCGTCTGCTAAATGACTAAAATGTAAAATGTAAAAATGTAGACTGTGTATCATGACTGTAGACTGTGTGTCATGACTGTAGACTGTGTGTGTCATGACTGTAGACTGTGTGTCATGACTGTAGCTGTGTGTCGTGACTGTAGGCTGTTGTGTGTCATGGCTGTAGGCTGTGTGTCATGACTGTAGGCTGTGGGTCATGACTGTAGGCTGTGTGTCATGACTGTAGGCTGTGTATGACTGTAGACTGTGTGTCATGACTGTAGACTGTGTGTCATGACTGTAGGCTGTGTGTCATGGCTGTAGACTGTGTGTCATGACTTAGGCTGTGTGTCATGACTGTAGCTGTGTGTCATGACTGTAGGCTGTGTGTCATCACTGTAGACATGTGTGTCATGACTGTAGACTGTGGTGTCATGACTGTAGACTGTGTGTCTGACGTAGGCCTGTGTGTCATGACTCAGGCGTGTGTCATCACTAGACTGTAGGTGGGATGAATGGTGTCATGGCTGTAGCTAGTGTGTGCATGACTTGTAGACTGTGTAATGACTGTAAAATGTGTGTCAGACTGTAGGCTGTGGTGTTGCATGATGTAGTAGCTGTGTGTCATGACTGTAGGCTGTGTTCATCACTGTAGACTGTGTGTCATGACTGTAGCTGTGTGTCATGACTGTAGACTGTGTGTCATGACTGTGGCTGTGTGTCGTGACTGTAGACTGTGTGTCATGACTGTAGACTGTGTGTCATGACTGTAGGCTGTGTGTCATGACTAGACTGTGTGTCATGACTGTAGACTGTGTGTCATGACTGAAGACTGTGTGTCATGTACTGTAGGCTGTGTGTCATGACTGTAGGCTGTGTGTCATGACTGTAGGCTGTGTGTCATGGCTGGAGGCTGTGTGTTATGGCTGTAGGCTGTGTGTCATGGCTGTAGGCTGTGTGTCATGGCTGTAGGCTGTGTGTTATGGCTGTAGGCTGTGTGTCATGGCTGTAGGCTGTGTGTTATGGCTGTAGGCTGTGTGTCATGACTGTAGGCTGTGTGTCATGACTGTAGGCTGTGTGTCATGACTGTAGGCTGTACTCCTGAGTGGCGCAGTGGTCTAAGGCACTGCATCGCAGTGCTAACTGTGCCACTAGAGATCCTGGTTCGAATCCAGGCTCTGTCGCAGCCGGCCACAGTGCGAAAAGCAGACACTACTAAAATTGGAGTATTAATGAACATTGATTCTGGACAATTAATGCTCAGTTTATCGCGCGTGGCATTGCGGTACCACAAGCAGCATTTTAGACTGTTATACTAGCCGTCTAGTCTGTGTTTTATACATGTTCAGTAAGCATAAAACACAATTATATAAGGAATTAGCAACTCGTTCTCATTCTTAGATAAGGTTTCAACAGCCGAACAAAGGCTAGCATGCTGTTCAAACGGTTGGAAATGGACGGAAGGGTGTGTTCATAACAATTCAGCTCTTCTACCTTGTTAGCTAGCAAATACAGTGCCTTCAGAAAGTATTCATACCCCTGGACTTATTCCACATTTTGTTGTGTTACAGCCTGAATTCAAAATGGATTAAATACATTTTTCTCTCCCCAATCTCCAAACAATACCCCATAATGACAGTGAAAACCTGTTTTTCAAAATTTTAGCAAATGAATTACAGAAATATCTAATTTACATAAGTATTCACACCCCTGAGCCAATACTTTGTAGAAGCACCTTTGGCAGCGACTACAGCTGTGAGTTTTTCTGGGTAAGTCTCTAAGAGTTTTCCACACAAGCTCTGTCAAATTGGTTGTTGATCATTGCTAGACATCCATTTTCAGATCTTGCCATAGATTTTCAAGTAGATTTAAGTCAAAACTGTAACTCGGCCACTCAGGAACATTCAATGTCTTCTTGGTAAGCAACTCCAGTGTAGATTTGGCCTTGTGTTGTAGGTCATTGTCCTGCTGAAAGGTGAATTCATCTCCCAGTGTCTTGTGGAAAGCAGACTGAACCAGGTTTTCCTCAAGGATTTTGCCTGTGCTTAGCTCCATTCCGTTTATTTTTTATCCTGAGAAACCCTCCAGTCCTTAACAATTACAAGCATACCCATAACATGATGCAGCCACCACTATGCTTGAAAAAATGGAGAGTGGTACTCCGTAATGTGTTGTATTGGATTTGCCCCAAACATAACACTTTGTATTCAGGACAAAAAGTAAAAAGTAAAAAGTACTTTAGTGCCTTGTTACAAACAGGATGCATGTTATGGAATATTTTTATTCTGTACAGGCTTGATTCTTTTCACTCTGTCAATTAGGTTAGTATTGTGGAGTAACTACAATGTTGTTGATCCATTCTTAGTTTTCTCCCATCACAGCCATTAAACTCTGCAACTGTTTTAAAGTCACCATTGGCCTCATGGTGAAATCCCTGAGTGGTTTCCTTCCTCCCCGGCAACTAAGTTAGGAAGGACGCCTGTATCTTTGTAGCAGGGTTTCTGTTAGGAGAATGTGGCGCCAGACAACGTGACCGGGAAGATTTTAATTTACCAGCCGTTTGAGAAATGTACTGGACCCATATGCGTTGGGTGTGTAACCCATTAGGGAGTCCACCCACAGTGCTCAGAGTGACATAAATCACATTTAGATTATAGTAATTCGTCTTAACAGAACATGCAATGAAGCAGCCAATAAAACGTCCTTTTCAAACATTTGCCAAAATGCAATTCGCAGGAAAACACCATTCTAAACAGCGCATCTGATATGACAGAGATGAAAATCTCTTGTTAGAAATTTAGAAAAAGTGTGAATCTAAAGATGCAACAACTAGGATGGGATGCTAATATGACTAGGATGGGATGCTAATATGGGATGCTAATATGACTAGGATGGGATGCTAATATGACTAGGATGGGATGCTAATATGACTAGGATGGGATGCTAATATGACTAGGGTGGGATGCTAATATGACTAGGATGGGATGCTAATATGACTAGGATGGGATGCTAATATGACTAGGATGGGATGCTAATATGACTAGGATGGGATGCTAATATGGCTAGGATGGGATGCTAATATGACTAGGATGGGATGCTAATATGACTAGGATGGGATGCTAATATGACTAGGATGGGATGCTAATATGGCTAGGATGGGATGCTAATATGACTAGGATGGGATGCTAATATGACTAGGATGGGATGCTAATACAACTAGGATGGGATGCTAATATGACTAGGATGGGATGCTAATATGGCTAGGATGGGATGCTAATATGACTAGGATGGGATGCTAATATGACTAGGATGGGATGCTAATACAACTAGGATGGGATGCTAATATGACTAGGATGGGATGCTAATATAACTAGGATGGGATGCTAATATGACTAGGATGGGATGCTAATATGACTAGGATGGGATGCTAATAGGACTAGGATGGGATGCTAATATGGCTAGGATGGGATGCTAATATGACTAGGATGGGATGCTAATATGACTAGGATGGGATGCTAATATGACTAGGATGGGATGCTAATATGACTAGGATGGGATGCTAATATGACTAGGATGGGATGCTAATATGACTAGGAGTGATCATTTGGCTTCTGGACAATGAAATAAAGTTGCTATGAAAACCAATAGACCAGGAGAGAAATGGCAAATGAGGAAGAAGGCTTAGCTGATTTATTGACTTGCAGCTGTCAGTGAAAAGCATCTGAAATATTTTTGAAGAAAGAAAGAAATAAATAATTTAAATGTTCAGACAAGCAGAAAGGGAAGGGTGAAGAAGGCGCCTATCTCTCCAGAATGCATGTGATCAGCTCTCCAGAATGCATGTGCTCAGCTCTCCAGAATGCATGCACCTCTCTCTCCAGAATGCATGCACCTCTCTCTCCAGAATGCATGCGCTCAGCTCTCCAGAATGCATGCACCTCTCTCTCCAGAATGCATACACCTCTCTCTCCAGAATGCATGTGCTCAGCTCTCCAGAATGCATGCACCTCTCTCTCCAGAATGCATGCACCTCTCTCTCCAGAATGCATGCACTCAGCTCTCCAGAATGCATGCACCTCTCTCTCCAGAATGCATGCACTCAGCTCTCCAGAATGCATGCACCTCTCTCTCCAGAATGCGCTCAGCTCTCCAGAATGCATGCACCTCTCTCTCCAGAATG